ATGCCTTTAATCCCAGCACTAGGGAGGCTGAGCAGGAAGTGATATGGCTGGGCGGAGAGAGGAATATAAGGTAGGAGGAGACCTTAGGGAGCTCAGTCTTTTCAGCGAGGAGTTGGTGAGGTGAGAGGTGGCTGTGGCTTGTTCCTTTGTCTCTCTGATCTTTCAACATTTACCCCAATATCTGGCCCTGGGTTTTTATTAAGACCAACTAGGATTCGTGCTACAGCCCTGTGTTCAGGGTCCAGATCTGAGTCTACTTAGTCGTTATGATCTTAGAGAGTTAAAATCTTCCTTAGCCTCAGTTCCTCCACCTGGTTCATGCAGGGCTAGACAGAAGTGGGCCACCTCAGGGAAGGGGACCCCTTTGACTTACCCAGGAGGAAGCATCTACCCCAGCCCTTCTAACATTAGGAGCCCACCCCTACCCCCAAATAAACCCATTCCTCCCTTAAGGCGCTTTTGGTTAGAGTGTTTTACCACGGAACAGAAAGGAAGCTGGAACACCGGCCTGGGCTGGTCTCTCGGTGCTAGGATCATGTGCCTGCCACCCAGAGACGCTTTCCTGAAGATGTCTGGTCAGGAAGAGGGCAATAACCAGTATTGGGGGAGCAGCCCCCGCCACAGCCTGCCACAGGGTAACAAAAGTGGGTCGGTTGTGTAATCAAAGCTCAGGGTTTTACTAAGCCTGCCTGACAGTCATGTGTACTCATCCCGACAGAGGTTCCTGTAGAAAGATCATTGGAACTGCTGAGAAATCCAGGGCAGAGTTCAGGGATGAGCAAGGCCTCTGGTCTCCTGTCTAATCTACTGCTCTGTGCTCAGGGGCCAGGTAGACTTGATAGACTCTCCCAGACACGGACTTGGGTCTAGCAACTTTTCTACACTGTCTTCCCCATACCCCTCCTGGGGCTGTGTCCAGACTCTGGAGAGCCCTGTTCTTCTGGCCAGCAAGGCCAGCAACCAATATCTTCTTCCTCAGATTCTCTTCTCCTGGGGCCCCAAGTGGAGTACCACTGATAGGCCTGGTTATCTTACCAGATGCTGAGGCCTTGGGGCCCCCACAGAGACTGAAGTCTGTGACTGTGGATCAAATGGGTGAGCATCCAGACCCTCAACTCTTGCCTGGCCAATCCTTGCTGCCTGTTCAGGGGTTACCCAGCCTCTGCCTCAGACAACCTTTTCAGACTAGGCGTGAACTACAGAGCTGCACGGTGTGCCCCTCTAGAACCCCTCCTTGCCTGCTTAGGGCTCTTGTGGCTGGGGTCTGGGTGCTCAGGAGGAGCAGACAGGCTCCCAAGGCCTCCAGGGATCCCTTTGTCACACAGCTTTGGCACCAAAGCCATAGCAGGACTTCATTTCTGGAGCTGCCTTGGAGACCATCCCTGTCCCAGCTTCCCTCTACGGGAAGTCATCCTGGCTTTGGGCCCAGTAGGTGAGGAGGCAGAGGAGGCAGACCCACAAGGGGGCAGGAAGAGCATTCTTGAGGCCAAACTTTGCTCCCTCATGAGCACCCAGTGGTCATGCTGGCACCAGGTTGGGGCCTAGTGATGTTCACACCAACCACCCTTCACAAGCTGCTAAGTATCATGTAGGCTCAGCCTGTAGAATCTGACTGATCCTAAGGATGTCTTTAAGTCAGTCATGTTGGCTGAAAGTTTTAAGATGTGTAGGCTTTAAGGACCCAGCGCCATAGAACATCATCTGAGCCACCAGATGATGCTAAGGAGGACCAGCCTAAGTGCCTCTGTGAAGTGGGGAGCTCAGAGCCTGGCAATTTTCCTGTGGGGAGGGACGCAGGAGGGAGAGAGGGAGGAAAAAACCCAGGAAGCTGGAGCCTAGAGGAGGCAGGAGCCTAGAGGGGCATTTAAGGCGGTCTGCCCATTCTGCTCCAGCTCTACAGATAATGCATGGCCAACAGTGCAGCCTCAGGAAGGACCAGGGTCTAGCCAATAGCTACAGGCATGTCCTGGTCCTGAGAAGTTCATTGTACCAGGCCTTGGACTCTGTAGATGGGTTCTGTCTCAAAAGAAGAGCATCCTATAAATATCAGGGCCTGACCTTTGCCCTCCACAGAGCGTCCTACACTGAGGAAGAGGATGGCTGGGGAGGGTGTTAGAGGCCTGTTAGGTCCAGATGGCCAACTGATGTACAAGTACACTTGTACAGGTACAAGTGTAGTGGAAGCACAGGCATCATCTCTCTGCCCCGAGCTGCCAGAGGGTCGCTGCGCTCTTGGAGGTTGTCCAGGCAAAGTAGGAGGGGCCTATCTATAGGGAAAGGGCTTGAACACCCACTGCCAGATATCCGGGACCTTAAGACAGGGAATGGAGCTCTGCTTTACTTTCTCCCCAGAGAGAAGCCAAACCTCACTCAGGGTCTCCAAGGCCCAGAGAGCAGAGGCTCAAGTCCACCGCAGCATGTGGGTCACAAAGATCCTGATAAAGCCTGTGTGGCAATGTGTTAGGGGCCACCAGACAGAGAGCCCGGGGCAGGGAGTGGGGGTGGGAGGGGGTAGGCTCTGAATCTTTCACTGTACCTTGTATACCAAATGGTCTGGAGCAGCCAGACACTGCAGCAGGCCAGGCTTCCTGGACAGCATGTGCTATAGTTTGGATCTGGAGTGGCTCCAAAAGCCCTTCTGTTGGAGGGTTGGTCCCCAGTCTCTGGCCCCACTGAGGTGGTAGGGCTCCCAGGAGGTGGGGTCTATGTGAGGAAGTAAGGTCACTGGAGGCAGGCCCTTGAGGGGGCTTGGGGACCTCAGACCCATCCTGTCTGTCTTGTTTCCTGGTTGACACATAGTAAACAGGAGCTACGTCCACCTCACCAATGTGTACCTTGCCACCATGGACCCAAAAGCAATGGAGCAGATAATTAGGGAGCAGAACCTCTGGCACTTTGTACTGGAAGCCAAAACAAACTTTCGCCCCGTTTGTTTATCTGGTATTTTGTCAGTGATGGAAAGCTGAGTAACATTCCTGGCATTCCAGCTCTGGAATTCTGCCGGTCCGGGATCTGGGAGTGAGCCCTGGAGGCTTCTCAGAATCTCACTGTGGGTGTGGCCCAGATGCCAGGAAAAGCCCACAGGCCCTACACCCTGGGCTGCTGTTGCTGTGTGGTGGTGCCTAGCCCCACAGGTAGGATAAAAGACTCGAGGCAGACCAGGCCTACACCCCCTTCTGGAGCCCATGGAGCTGTGTAAAAGGCTCCCTTGGCCCGCCATCTTTGTGTTGGAAAACCAGTACATTGGAGTCTCACCCAGGACCCGGCACTGGCCTCTCCTTTGCAGCTCCCAGTGGGTTAAAGGCATGGTCGTGGGGACGAGAGTCCTATTCTGCTGTCTGCACAAGATTCTTGCCCCTCTGGCCCTCAGTCCCAGGGAAAGCTAGACAGACAGCCCTAGCCTGACAGAGTTGGAGCTGGAGTGATAATAGTGGCTAGCCTAGCGGTGGACAACTCTCCAGGGACAGACTGGGCTGAGGTGACAGGGTAGGGGAACGGGTGTCCAGGTGTCCCCTACCTCCACCCCCTCGGCCACTTGTGCCCACAGCTTCAGCATCTTTTCAACTTGCCAGCAGCCACTTACTGCCCCCCGTGCCTGCTCCACCTCCACAGCATTCCTGAATAACCTACTGCATACTGGGTGACCCTGGCCTCCGGGACAGCCTGGAGGCAGTGTTCCCAGGATTTGCGGGACTTGCTCCCCTGAGCAAAACAAGAGCTCAGACCTCCAGACCTTTGTCCAGTTTCAGTCACTGGGTCTCTGTGGAGGTCATGGACTCAATGTGGTGGCACTGGGCATTTCATGATTGCCACCTGCCTCTGCTCCCCATCCAGGAGCGGTAAGACTCCTAGGACATGCTTTGCTAGTGGTGTGTTGGCATGTGCCAGGGTCAGTGTGTTGAACATAGGGGCCTCCTCTTTATGAACAAGGTCTGCTCACCTCCTGACCCATCAGCACCACCCTCTTGGAGCTCTGATGAATACATACATGAGGGCTTCAGGAGGCTGAGAATTCCTATTGTCCTACTCAATTCCTTCGAGGGCTTTCCTTCCTCAAAATGCCCTGGTTGAGGGACCTGATAACTAAATGTATGTAAGATCCATCTTCCCAGGGTTTGACTCAGGACCCTGCAGAGCTTAGGGATCCACGGCTGGTCAGGTAGGTGGGCGAAAGCATGGATGGGTATCCTCGAGGTGACAGAGAGGATGACAGGCAGATGGTGGGCCTAGCACCCTCAGCCAGTGTCACAAGGAGGGGCCCTGTCTCTGCAGAGCCTGGAGGCTGTGGAGGTGGCCTGGCTCACTTTGTGAAACTGAACTTGGTGCTCCGAACCTCAATGTGAGTTCTCAGGAGAAACAGGTAGCAATGACACCCCCAATCCATCTGCTCTAGAGGGCAGGCAAGTGGCTTTATTCCTTCCACTTCACTTCCCACAACTCCCTGCTTCTCAATCTCCTGGCCAGAGGCTTCTGCCGCTGTGTTGCCTGCCTGAGGTTCAACAGGTGGTGGTGCCCTAAAGGCACCCAGTGGCCTCACAAGACGGGCCGTTGTCCACCACTGACCCCTTTTCACACCTGGACACGGCTTCTGGCTCTCCCTCCCACATCTGTCAGGCCAGGGTTCAGTTGCTGTTGACCAAAGCTCAGCACACCATGATGCACTGAACCCCATCCACCTATACTTTCAGTGACTGTTCTGCCTCATCTACCCGCCACTGCCTACCTCCCTTGGAAATTTCTACTCATCCCTCAGAATATCCACCAGACTTGAAGGCAGCACGTCACTCACACCCACAGGAAACAGACTTCTTCCCCTAATGGACCAGCCTCCTCTATCTCTGGGTAGAGAAGGCTAAGGAGGGACACTGGCCTGGCCTCACAAAAGCTCGTCTCCACCCTGCCCCCATCACCCAGTTGACACAGCCACAACAGTAACCTGGGCAGCTAACTCAGGCCCCCAAACCCTTTTCAGGGTTCCAGTCCAAAAACCAGAAGACATCCACTATATACCAAAACATTTAATTGAAATACCTGTATAAAAAATATGATTTCCAGACATCTCACACTTGAACTTAAACAACCCCCTCCCCTGATGCCTACTCACACCAGGGTCACAGAAACACAGCTGCTAAAATAAATTAAGGGCTTGAGACTCTGTCCCCCACCCCAGCTTTCAGAGCCAGCAAGCAGACTGTACAAGGTCAATAATTTAAAACCCACCCCCACCCCCCCAGCGCAAGAGTGCCCAGGGTGGCAGGGTCCCCCACTTCCCTTAAATTAGCCACTGTACAAGTTCTTCCTCCCACAGACATGTGGGCTGGGGACCTACTCCAGGTGCAGGAAGCAGGATGGGTGGGCTCTGTGGACTCCACAGCCACCCTTGACTCTCCTGTTCACCCCAGGGGCCTGGAGGAGGGGCTGCTTGGAGGAAGTAACCTCAGCAAATAAATTAAACAATAAATAGCCCCAGCAGGGCAGGGGCGCCCTCCAGGGTGGTCACACCATAAATAAGAGACCCTGGCACGCCTAAGCTGCGCGCCCGGGTTGGCAGATGGGCACCAGCGGCCCAGCCGTTTGCATTGCTTGTGCAGACATGCCCAGACGAACACCATGAGACTGGAGGGTGGGAGGGGGGCACCACGGGGTGCTCCATGTCAGACACAGTTGGTCAGGAAGGCTGCCTCCAAGATGCAGCAGCAGGGTAGGGGTCTCTGGTTCAAGTATCCACCCAAGGCAGGCGGGACCTTGCTCAGCCCGCAGCCATCTTTGGACAGAAGAGCTCAAGAAAACCCAGGCCCTGTGGAGCAGCGTTCAAAAAGGCACTCAAAGCAAAGGAAACAGGCCCGGTGCCGAGAGCAAAGGTCACCAGGGGTCAGAGGTCACTGCTTTTGCAGGAGACATCCCAGGCAGAGAATGTTCGTTCTGGAAGAGGGCTTGCTAGGCTGAGCCCAGGCCCCCAGTGTGGAGTCCAGCCTCCTCCTCCTCACAAGCTCTCACTGCTGGAAGTGGTGCTGGCTCCGTCATCAGTGTCCAGGGCACAGAGCCGAAGGTCACAGTTTTCTGGAACGCTCCCCTCTGTCCCCAGCATCCAGGGGTGGGCAGCAATTTGGTCCAGTGAGGGCCTCTCTGAGGGCCGCAGGGAGAGACACCACTCAATGAGCTGCTGGCACTCTGCAAAGACAACAGGGGTCAGAGTCCTCCTGCACTGCCCCACCCCCAACCCAGCCACAGGCTGTCCAACACACACCTGGGGAGACCCTCCTCCGGAAAAATAGCCTGCCACGCAAGATCTCCTCGTCCTGCTCGAAGGGAATGTCCCCACACACCATGTCATAGAGCAGTACACCCAGAGACCACACAGTGGCAGAGCGCCCATGATAGCGGTGATAGCGGATCCACTCTGGGGGGCTGTACACGCGAGTGCCTGGGGGGGAGGAGGAATCGGGATTAGGAACATATCAAGATATACAGGGGAAACTCAGGGCCACACACAGTGCCCTTGTTAGCTCGAAGCCTGCCTCCACCCTGGCCTCCGAATCTTGCTTGTCATCACCCTGGAAAAACCCCAACACAGCAGCAGGCGGGGCTCAGGAAAGGAGGGACGTGGCGGGCAGGGGAGGGGCAGGAGTGAAAGGGAGGTGAAGGCCCACCCCCAACAGGCCCCACTGCAGGAGCGCGTCACATGAGCTCCGGCTCCAGTTTCACAACAAACAGATACAACGTAAGCCACAGGGAACTGGGCCGGGTGTTCCAGCTCCTCCCGCCCCGGCTTTGCCTGCTCAGCTCTGCGTGGCCAGGGAAGGGGAGGAGAGGAGCTCGGGAAGAGGAGGGGCGGGAGGGATGGGAGGAGGGAGCAGAGGAGTGGGGGAGCCCCGGCTTCCCCGCGCTCCGCAATGCGGGGATTTCTACTGCGGCGCCCCCGCGCTCCGCACGCACGCACGCACGCAAGGGAGGCCCGCGAGCGCCCTCCCCGGCACAGGGAGGGGCCAAGGCGCCGAGGCAGCTGGCTGAGCCCTGCGTCACGCGCGTACCGCGGGTCTCCCTGGCTGCCACCCACCGTCCCCAGACCCTGCGCCCTAACACCGCAGAGGGCTACCCCGGTGTCCCCACTCGCCACCCCACCCCACCCCACCCCCGCACGCGCGCGCGCGCGCAAACCCGGCGCGGCGCGCGGCCTCCCAACAGTCGCCGGAACGCCGCACCACCTGCTTACCATCAAAGTCAGTGTAGACCGTGTCCTTGAGCACCGCGCCCGAGCCGAAGTCGATGAGCTTCAGCTCGCCCGAGCGCAGGTCCACCAGCAGGTTCTCGTCCTTGATGTCTCGGTGCACAACCCCACAATTGTGGCAGTGCCGCACAGCGGCAAGCACCTGCGCGAAGAAGCGGCGCGCCAGGGGCTCGTCCAGGGCGCCCCGTTCCGTGATGAAGTCGAAGAGGTCCTGTGCCGGTTCTGGCCGCTCCAGCACCAGCAGGAAGCCGTCGGGCCGCTCGAACCAGTCCAGCAGGCGGATGACGCCGCGCGCGCCGCCCGCCGCGCCCACCTTGCGCAGCAGCACCACCTCCAGGGGCACGGCCACTCCGCCCTGGGGGGGACAAGGCGGTCAACGGACAAAGCCAAGGCGACCCGCGCCTGCCCGCACCCGCAAGACCCGCGCCCGCACACTTACCAGACTGCCCCACTCGGTCACCCGCTCCTTCACCACGTGCTTCACGGCCACCTGCGGGGAGGGGGGCGACACGCGAGCGGTCAGCCGGGCGGCCGAGCGTGGCCAGCGACCACGCGGCTGCGCCCGGAGCCCCGACTCACCGGGAGTCCGTCGGCGATGCGGCTGCCCGCGTAGACCGTGCCGAAGCCCCCGCTGCCCAGCACGGCGCCCACCTGGTACACCTTCTCGAAGCTCTCCTTGTCCGCCTTGGCTGTGGGGACACGCAATCCAGTTGGTGATGGCCCAAAGACCCTCCAGCCATCGCCCGGGGCCCCCTCCCCAGCCCGCGCACCTACCTGGCTGCAGGATCTTCACCGGGAGGTGGTCCACGCCTCCAGGCCCGCAGAGGTGCGCCAGGGAGCCGAACTTAGACAGCAGCATCGCGGGTGGCGTCGCGTGCGGTGCCGCCTCTGACCCGTCCGGCACGGACGCGGGAGGGCGGTCTTCCCGACCGCAGACAGCGCGGCGGATCCCCGCGGCCCCGAGGCCGAGCGCTCAGCGAGGCAGCCGCGCGGCGCAGTTGCCCGGTGGCCGCGCGGAAGCGCGTATACGACAGCTGGCCGAGCGGCTCACACGCCCCGGCCGCCTCGCCCCGGGGTTTTGGACCACGGAGACGCGTATCCTTCCGCGAAGGCGGGGCCGCCTAAGGCCCCGCCCCCTTCCGCCCGAGGCTTGCTTTGCAGTGCGGCTGTTGTATCGCTAGGCGTTGCTGGGAAAGCCGGACGTTCCCTGTCGGTTTGTCAAGGGCCCGTGCCGCACGGGGACGGCGACCCGTCCGGACTAGTTTGCTGTAGTATTGTCGCGGAGGCGCACAGCGTACCGCGGCTCCCCCACGGCACGCTCGCTCGCCCTGCGCACGCGCAACTCGCGCGCGGGCGGCGGCCCCTCTGCTTCTGGCCGCGCGGGCGGGGCCGTATAAGCCAATGAAAACCGAGGTTTTGAAAGGACACGGGGACTCAGCCAATGGCGACGCGGGGCGGGGCCTTCCGAGCCTGGACCCCCCCCCCCGCAGGCCCCGCAAAGGAAGGTCACTCTCGGGCTCCGCGACTTACGCGTGTTCTTCCCTCGTTTTCCGTGGGCGTCCATGGCGCGTGGAGTGCGAGGAGCCGGCTCCCTCAGAGAAGCGGAAATCCAGGAGGACACCCATGCGATTCTGAGGCCTTCGCTGACACTCGCCTTGTGTGTGTCACCCATCGCTCGCGCGCCACGGTGCGCACGTGGCTGGCCAAGGGAGAAAGCATTGCCCTCAGACCTTTCAGCCCAGCCCCTGCCTCCGCGTAGCACACCTTGTGTTTGCCCATCAGATGGGCTCAGACCTCATGCTCCTAGCTGGGTATCTATGGTAGCCTGCCTAACCCCAAAATCCTCTGCCCTGGGGGGCCTGTCCCTTTGCTTTCCAGCCACCTGACAATGTGTCCATCGGCTGCCCACAGCTACCAGTGGGCCTTCGTTGATGGCTGTCATGTCCGTAGTCCCGTTCTGAGCAGCCCACGTAGACACGGCCAACAGCAATTTCCCGGTGCCCTTTATAAGGCACTGCTGAAATTGGACTCGACTGTTGTTGACCCCAAGCCAAGAGCAGCCTAGGACTTGGGAATGTCATCTGCCAGCCTTAGCGGAGTCAGAACGGGTTGAGAGCAGGGCACTGAACCCATTTTGCAGTTGCTCCTAGGACCTGAGATGGATGTCTAAACAATGCAACTGATAATCCTGTACTGTTACCAGGGGTATCTGGAGCCCGGCCTCTGGCTTGTCATTGTCCCTCTGACTCATGCCACAGACCACGCCAGTTTCCCCACTCTGGAACCCTTCTGAGGCACATACTGTCTTGATTCAATAATCCAGGGCCCACCCAGTTTCCTTGCGCCTTACTGTCCCTGTGGCTTAGTCCCTCAAACTGTCTGGGTACACACACTCACAAACACCTCCAATGGCGCGCGCTGTGAATGGGTCTCAGGTTCTTGGAGCTCTGTTTGTCTCTCCCCTGAAGTGCTCCCAGGAGGCTAACGGGGTGTCTATCCAGAACAGAGCTCCCTGCAGCACTGACCAGCAGGATTCACAGGGCACCTGCTCAGGTGGAGTGTCTGCCTGTGGGTGCTTTCACAGAACCAGCTAAGAGTCCAACGGGACCTGTCCTCTTCCAGGCCGGGATAGTCTGGTTGTATTGGACCCCAGACTTGGGGAGAAGCAAGGAATCTGTGGAACAGAAAGCAGCCTTCTCCTCAGGTGGGGGTCTATCTTTATTGTGTTGTAGATATGGGCCTCTGTGTGTGTGTGTCGAGGACCGCAAACCTACTAAGCTCCACGACTTATCAGAATAGACCCTGGCCCTCATCCCCAGGAACCATACAGGCCTCATCACATTCCATTTGGCCCGAGGGGGAGGTCTGATAAGAGGCTTGATCTGAACAGCTACCCACGCATCTGCTCTGGAGAGGCATTGGGAAACCCCTGTGTCCCCAAATAATCCTGCCTCATCCTACCCGCTACCAGCAATGGGCATGGCTGACCCTATTTATTAATTTATCAAATGGAGGTTCTAATGGGTCCTGTCTGTGGAGCCTCTCTCCTCCTCGCATGGGAGTCTAGACTGAATCAGACCCAGAGCTGCTGGTCCTGTGCTCCCCCTGGGCATGGCTATCGGAAGCTGGACCTCAGGCCATCCCTGCGCCACAAATTTCAACACCCCCAGCCAGTTCCTGTGCCGGGGACCAGTCCTCCACCTGTTTTTTCCTGGTTCCTGGAAGGCCCATCCGGTAAGCCTTAAAAATAGCCTTGGGCCCCACAGGTCAGTCATTACACAGGCACCAGCAGAGCCGGAATACTCCAGATGAGAAGGGCCTTGCTGCAGATGCCCACGCCCCGTTCCTTGCCTTCCTACCACGCCAAGGGCGCCCTGGGTCCCAGATCAGTGTGACATGGGGAGAGTCCGTCTGTTGGCCTTCCCCTCTTAACCAGGTGTTACTCGCGGAGGGGGCTGGTGGAGCGGGATGGATGCTACCAGAGGGTCTGTACTCTCTCTCTCTCTCTCCCACTCGGCGGCCCCCAAGCCATCCTGTCCCCCACGTGCTTGCAGCCTTGGAAACAGGCATTTCTGCCCTGCAGTGGGCACAGACAGAAGGCACAGCCAGCCCCACCGGGTCACTCTGTCCTGCGGGTGGGAGGGGCCATGCTGTTGCTGTGGTGACCAGAGCCAGGCTGTCCTTCCTGCTAAGGAAAGAAGAGATGATGGACTGGAGGATGGTCAGGGCCTCAGTCCACACACACACACACACACACACACACACACACGCACACGCACACGCACACGCACGCACTCGCACACACACACACACACACGCATGCACGCACACACGCGCACACACACACACACGCATGCACGCACACACACACGCACACGCACGCACGCACACACACACGCATGCACGCACACACGCGCACACACACACGCACACAGTCATATGTACTTACAAACCCAGTCACACGCAAGTAATTGTCCTCAAAACCATGGACACACAGACACACAAAAGCACACTTCAGACACTCTTCAGCTCTGTGATATCACAGGGAAGGACAAGGTGGGGGCACCTCCCACACTCTCCCCAAGCTGTCCTGCCCTGGTACCCTCAGTCTCCCTGGTGCCTTCACCTCCCTGTGGATCTCGTCCATATCCAGTGCTCTTGCCAATGACAGAGCCCATGTCCTACTGCCCCATAGGTAGGTCCTGGGTCTTCTCAACCCCTGGCTGTCTTTGATGTCCCTCCATCCCAAGAGTCTCCTCAGTTGCCCTTTATATCTCTATTCTGTCTTACCTCCTTCCTATTAACCCACTATTTCCTGTTTCTTGCCTCATCGCAGGCCAGGCCCAGTCCATGCCTCTGTGGCCTTTGGAGTCAATCCTTTCTACAAACGGTCCCTACTGGACCCTGAGCCACCTCTGACCTGGCTCCCACCAGAGTTGATGAGCCCAACTGAACAGGCCCCTCCTTGGCCCCCATTACCTAGCCAGGCAGTATCCCAGATAGGCACACCTGGCACCAGTCTCATACCCCTGGCCCCAGCCCTGGCCCTGGCCCTGGCCCTGGCCCCAGATCTAGACTTGGTGTTGTGCCAGGCCAACCTCTCCCTGAGCCTGGCTCTGGCCAGCTGATTAGCTAACAGGCCCTGGCTGCCCACCCTGTCAGGCCTGTCCAAGGCCAGGCCCCCAGGCTGGCTGGAGGCAGAGCTCTCAGTTTAAGGCAAGCAAGGCCCTTTCCCCTCCTGCCTCCACACTCCTTGGCAAACCTCTCCTGAATGAGAAGAGGAGCCAGAGGAGCTAGCCAGGATTTTGCAACATTTTGCCAAAGGCGTCCCTGGGTTGGGAAGGCCCAACAGGATCAGAAACAGAACCCCAGCCTGCATGAACTCTGGCCCAGCCACTGTTGTTGCCTCTTCCAACCTTGTCCCAGAGGCTGATGGACATCATCTCCCTTCCCAGGGAACCCTGGCCTGTCCTAAGTCCTCAGCCTGAGCTGAGCCCGTCCATTGTTGACGAATTGCAGCTCCCCCTTGGCATGGTTCTTGCTGCCACTGAGGAGCATTTGCTCACATTCTGCTATAACCAGGGTGCACACACAGGCATACTCAACTGGCCTAAAAGACCCTGAAAAAGATGCCATGAGTATCCAGGCCTAAACCAAGTTTTCTATCATTCACCCAGAGCGGCAATGATAGTGGATGTGATGCCATCAGCCCATCCCATCTAGATCCAACTGTCCAGAAAACTTCAGCCACATTGGCCCCAACAGAGTCAGCCTGAGTTGGGGCTGTGGGCCCATGTAGCAAGGTGGTCTGGGCAGGGTCCTGGCAGACTGAGCTAAAGGTCCTCTTCCTCACAAGGTTCCTGCCTGTGGTTAAACCCAGCTGCCCATACCATCTGTGCTGGACCAAGTTTGCCCCCACCCCCCCTCAACCTCTTTCTAGCTCACCTTCGGAATCCCAGCCTGTGTACCACAGCCCAGGACCCACCCAGCACTCAGACCTTGCTTTCCTACTGGCTGATCTACCCTTCCAACTTCAGCCTCCCTGTGTATAGACGGGACTTCTGGTGACTGGTAAACACCTGTGAACCACTGTCCACAGTATCTAGTGGGTGCCTGGTGGGCACATAGCCTGGAATTTCATAAGAGAGTCTCAAAACTTCCCACACCAGTTGGCTTATGGTGGGGCTCCACCATACGAGGGACACCTCTAAGCCAAGCCCAACTATTATGTGGTATAGGAATAGGAGTACTCATTCACACTCCTCGTACTTCTACCATGTCTACACAGGTAGGCAAGTGCTTGGAACCCCCCCTAACTCCTGGTGGAAGACTCTTGTCCCCTAGGGATGCAGAGGGGCCGGGAGAAATGTCCAGCTCAAGTGTGATCATGAGCTCGGAGATGCATACAGAGTGAGCACCTGCTGTGTGTGTCTTATCAGTTTGCCATACTCACATGCCTCAAGTCAACCTAGGATGTTGATATTGCAGGCTCTTCCTGCCTCCTGTAGGTGCATGTGGCCAAAGAGAACAGCGCTCTTTGCTGGCATGAAGATGTTGGGGTCCAGGACATGCCTGTGGACAGCAGCTGGCTCCCCGGAGCTCTCAGAGAGGACTGTTTCTGCCAGCTTGACCTCTGCCCAAGAATAGTCAGGGCCGGGAGAGAAACAAGGCAAGACAGAAGACTGCTTCAGGTCAGATGTGAGTCAGCCCCTCTCCGAAAGCTGTGGGCAGTACCCACACCGTGTGGAGCCAGAAAGCCTAGGTTCCCAATCTCTGTGGACCACCTCTAGTGGCTCAGAAATAGAGGAGGGTTGAGTAAGTTCCCAGTACCTGGGTATGGTGAGGGGGCAGTCAATGGCGTTGAGGAAAAAATATGGGCCCGAATTCTGCTTGTAGAAAAAAAGCTGGAAAAATCCCGGCATGTCTTCACAAAAGATCTAGGAAAGTACCAGCATGTCTTCACAGCACCTGGAGGTACGTGTTGGTATACCAGACTGCCAGGAGCCTGCCCTCACCTTCTTCCCCTTTCATACCTGCTGGGTATACCAGGCCTGCAGGCAGGGTCCAGATCCTGGAAGCCACAGTATGGATACAGAGCAGCCAGGCTGGGGCTGGGCTCTAGGACTAGTCCACAAAGCTGATGTTACCCCAGGTTGTGTCCTATTGCTCTTTCCAACCCACCCTCTGTTGAAAGGACACTGATCTGGCTCCTGAGCCAGGTGCTAATGGGCACCAGGAGCATTCATATCCCAAGATGCAGCAGGAACAGAAGTAAGGGTGTCTGTGTCCATACCCAGCTGGCCAGGTCTATAGGGGAGTGATGAACCCAAGCTGTGGCTCCCTCCTCTGGAATCCCTCTGAGTCTCTCAGGCCCTTCCTGCCCCTTCAAGCAGTACTAGGTGAAGAACCAGGAGGGCCAGGAGCAGCTAAAGGTGACAGGACCAGGGCTGCTGGAGCTCCAAGACAGTCCTTTGAGTCTGCTTTGGAACCCAGTTGTATGAGAGTCCAGAGAGACCCACTGAGGCCAGAGGAAGGCCTTGCCCTGTCCCTATCTCTGGGCAGGGTTTCACAAACCCATCCTGACCCTGGGACTCTGCGGTGGCCTGGGCAGGGCATCCAGTTCAGAAGTGGCTAGGCTTTGTTCCAACCACAAGACCACTTCCCTATTCCTAGGAAATGACAGGCATGGCGGTGGGGGAGGGGGGTGCCCTGGTCTGTACATAGGTTGAGCTGACTTCTGCAGAGGGGAGGCCCCAACTCTTGACCCACTCACCATGAATTTCCAGTGATTATTCTTGCTTCAGGAAGTGGGGTTTCCCGTTCTCCAGAACCCAGTCAGAGGGGTCCAATCTAGCCTAGAGGACACTCCAAAATGTCCCAATGGCTAGCCAGTTGGAATCAGTGCCCAAGAAGGAATGTACTTGGTGTCCATTGGCTCCCAGATGGGCACTGGGCTAAAGGCACTATAGTCAGCACTCCCCCCCCCATGCACTTTCACTGTTTGTGGGGTTCATGAACCTTCCTGCTTTCTTTCCTGAGCTCCCCTCTCCCAAGCTGGAGAGACCCACACATCACAACTGCCTCAGGGCCACCGGGTCCAAGGGCACAGCTTTGTGGCTTTTAGCGTTGTCCCACTCCTCAGGAGGAAGATCCAGGGAACTGCATCTGGAGTGGTCAAGGGCTGTCCATTGTCTGGGGGCTGGGGAACAGAGGCCCAAGGACAGGCTACTCACACCCCCAAGTGAGGCAGCTGAGTCCTCTTGGGGTAAGGCAGGACTTGATTATCATCCACTATGGGACCCTCCTCACACGACGACGTTCAGGCTCCTGCCTCCTTCCCCCCACCCCAACCCCTGGCCCTGTGCAAAGCAGTAAAGGAGAGAGCTGGCTTGGGGCTTGCAATGGAGTGGGGTGGGCGCCTGAGCCGGGAGACTGGGGTTGAGGGGCCTCAGGCACAGCCCCACTCCTTACCCCCATCCTACTAACTAGAACGCTTGCGCAGGAAGCCCAGTGGCTGAGTCAGCACTCCGAATGGAAGGAATGGGAAGAATTCTACACTTTCATTCTCTGGCTGGGCTCCCACCCTGAGTACTTCCCCAGTTCCCCCATCTCCACACCACCCCTGCCCCCCACCCAGGTTAGTAGCCTACAGGCCCCAGCTCCTTCTCCTCCGGATCCCCTTCCAGCTCCCGCCGCCTCTCCGACCTTGGTGATTATTGAGCTCTAACTGGCTCCTTGGGGCTGTGGGTGCCAGGCCAACAGCCTGGCACTTAGAAGACCTGCTGTCCAGAGTCCATCTGCCTGTGTCAGCACTGCCCTCCCAGGTCTCGGCAGCCAGTCTCACTGTCTACCCAGGGCCCTGCTTGACTTTCTGGGCTTAAGCTGTAAAGCTGAGCTGTGTTGGGGGTACCAGGGATCCACGCTCATCTCCTGGATCAGAGGCACCGCGGAGCCCGCTCACCATACAGAGCCTGCCTGTGGTGCCTCCTGCCTCACACCTGACCGACCATTCTGCCCTCTGAACACACCTGCTTTTCTGAGCACATACTGCTTGCTGTCCCTCGGATAGAGAAAGGTCAGCCCCAGCCAGACCGGCAGTGGGGTGGGGAGTGGGGGGAGGGGGAGATGAAAGTTGGCGGGGGGTGGGGCTGAAGTTGGGGGGAGGGAAGGGATGAGCAGATAACCCACAAAGCCTTTCAGCCAGCACCACGCTCAAGTGCCGGTGTCACCCAAAAATCTGTGGTCCAGTCCTTTTGAAGGATTTGGGGACAAGGTTCCGGCAGCTCTGAGCTCCCTTAGCCAGGTTCAGCCCTGGGTTGTGTAAGGAGGAAGGAGAAGAAGAGAGAAAAGCTCAGGGTTCCCCAGGAGCTTGTGGGGCCAGGGAGATGAAATCTCTCGCCCATTGCCCTCGAAGTCCAGCCAGCCACTCTTGATAACCCCAGGTCCCTATCTGAGCATAAGTATACATCTACTAGGTAATAGTAGGGAAGTAGTCTAAATGGGAATAGGAGACACCCAGAGCAGGGGACCAGCTTCCTGTCCCTCGGGGGAAGAACTGACAACCTAGGCAGGTAGCCCCAGGTCCAGTATCCATTCCAAGGAGAAGACTTGTGGACCCCAGGGAATATGTGCAAAGGAGATCTCCACTGACTCCATGACCTACTCCTCTGTCTTTGCTCTCTGTGGGTTCCGGTCCCAGCCACACCCTTGCCTGGGTGTTCCCAGAGTGGCTTCAGTTTCCCTAGAGGCTGTGGGAGGGGAGCCGCTGACTAGCAGTTTCTGGGACGCAGTTTTGGGGTTTCGACCCGGCCCTGGTAACCCGCCCAAATGAACAAGTTGGCTGCTCTTGGACCCTAGGCAGAGGCTGCCCCATGGGCAGCAGCAAAAAGGTCATTCACTTGGTGCTATCCAGCTGATGCATAGGCTCTAATACCCAGCTGGCCCTGTGCCAGCTGATTCACCTGCAGCCCTAGAACCGAGGCCCCGCTACTGCTCCGTAACCAAGGATCCTCCTCAGCTTTATCCGTCTCTAGAGGTTTCTGAGCATGTGGGAGTCTCCTGCTTACAACCCTTCACTGAATCCCTATTGCCTGAGGAGGAAAGACAGAGATTAGGCCTCAGTTATCAGCTATAGAATGGGTTTGCTGGGAGCTCCACCCACCTGGTAGGATTTCAGGGGAAACCTCCAGTCTATAAACAGTCTGTAAGTCTATAAGCGGATCCTGACCCGCTCTGACATCTCAGTTCTTCCCAGCACCCAGAACTACCTTTTACCTCCAGGACCTGGCTTGATGCTCCCTGTGTGTCCTCGGACCTCAGCCAGGGCTTTGTCTCTTCCAGAGGCCCTAAAGCCCAGCTAGGCGAGCTCCACAGGCCTGCCAGAGGGTGAGTGATGCATAGGAATGGCCTGGGTGTGTTGGCTCAGGCCTTGGTGGGGTCCTTCCAGGCCTTGGCAGCTTGTCGAGGGAATAGGCTGGCTGGCAGGAGAGGGGAAGGAACAGTAGCACCCATATACATTTAGGACCTGTACACAGGTTCTTCCCTGTCTTGACATCTTCTTGATTATTGTTTATAGGTAGGGAAACTAAGGCTTGAGAAAGTAAAGTGACTGCCCCCAAGATACCCAGGAGGGAGCCTAGGTATGTGGTCGTACTCAGGTTTAGTCCAGGCCCTCGAAGGTTGTGCTGGAGGAGCAGGGGCCCTGGCCCTCACAGTTCACTGTGCCAGGTGCCGCTGCTGCTGCTGCTGCCGAGGTAGGAATGGCCAGAGGCTGCGGGGCAAGGGCTGGTTGGGATGACGGAGCTGGCTCCAGTAGGGGTGAGGGGACTTCAGCCGGGTCTGCCCTTCTGAGATCTTGCTTGGCTGGACACAATCTGTCAGTAGAGGTGATTTAATGACCTGTCCAGCAGGTGTGGAGCCCCTTAGCGGCCCCTGGACAAGGCGAGCATGAAGCCAACCTGGCCACTGGGGGGTCAAAGGAATGAGGAGCAGGGCAGCTGTCAGACCAGCCCTGCCACAGCCAGCTCCAGGGCTTAGAGTGTTGGCTGGCTTCTCAGGGGCTGAGGTTAGGCTGGGCAGAGCCAGGGATGGGGCTGGAGTCTCTGTGTCTTTCAACACCCAGGGACCCGGTCCAGGTTTGGTCTCCTGGTGAGGCTGCCTTTCCCCAGCTCTGCTGGGTGCTTTCTGCTTCTGACCCATGAAGATGGGTGGAGTGTACATTTGGGTGCTGTCCAGCCCACCTATTCCTCTCTTTATCCTAGCCTTCAAGGCTCAGCTGTACCTGCTCTGCCACTCCCAGCTGAGCCAACACCCCCAGCAGGTGGCCACCTGACGGAGGTGATGCCCATGACGCAGGCTAGGGCCTGTGTCCTGCCTACCTCCTGGCTGGGCCCCAGTGCACATGTCCACGTGAGCAAGCAAGCAAAGGCGTAAGCGCACACACACACACACACACACACACACACACACACACACACACACGTGTAGCTTCACCTGTCAGACCGGTTCTGCACCATCAGCCAGGCCTCTGTAAAGTTCACATTGGTATAGGACTCACTGCCGCAAGCAAACACTCTATATACTCACCATGTCCCAGCCCCCAGCACATGCCCTAGTGATACCCAGCCTCGGCTTTCTTACCGGTGAGCCAGAGAGTACGGCTTAACCCAAGGATTTTGTGAGACTGGGCATGAGGAGACGCTTTGCAGCTGAGTAGAGCATATCTCCAGCATGGAGAAGTATGGAGACCACACACACCCCCACTCTCCCACCCCCCACCCCCACCTCATGTGGCTGAGCTGGCAGTGAGGCCAGGAAATCCAGCCACTTATCCACCATTTCACAACCTACCTCATGAGGGACCCTTGCAGATGTGGAGGATGCCAGCTGGGCTCTGCTTCACTGAATCCAGTCCACTGGGTCTAGGAAGAGACTGCCATAGATAGCCCTGGTGTGTGGAAGAGGCTTGGCAGAGCAGCAGCCCCAGATGAGCCCCAGTGGGCAGCTGTCAGTTCATTCCTTAGCGATGGGCTAGCTGATTGAAAGACTCGGTCGCCAACCTGATGTCCCCCCAGACCAGACACACAGTCCTGCATCTCTATTCCCTAGGGCTGATATGATCACACTCCCTTCTGTCTCTGGCATCAGCAAGTCACCCCGAGGGAGACTCCGGGGCGACAGAGGTGACGTGTTTGTGCTTGTGAATAGGACCTGTGTGAGCCTGGGGTATGCAAGAGGATGTATGAGGATGGAGGGAGTGTGTGGATCTGGGGGCGCTGGATGGGGATGATGACTGAAGGGCAGAGGGCAGCATGGGAGGGGGTTGTGAAGGAAGGGACATGAGGTGTGGGGATAGGTAGGGGTCAAGGTTCACGGAGGTCTCCGGGCATTAAGTGTAGGTGGAGACTCAGTATTGGCAAGACGATGTAGACGCATGCTGAAAGGTGAGAATGCTGTGGACGGTGGTGAGGGGTCACAGGGCAGAGATGGAGGTGGGGCAGTATGGATGGGCCAGTGGGGCAGGATTAGCCAGGATGGTTGGGGACACAATGGGCCCTTGTCCCATGCCGGGCTCCAGGCGCCCTGAGCAAACACACACCCTGTTCCCGCTGCACACTGTGTCCCCAACTGGCCGTGGCTCGGGGCCAGCAGGGAAAGTAGCCTGGCCAGGACACGTGCCGAGCTTGTCCCTGTGGCCTCCACAGAACCCTCTGCATAGCACCCAGGAGTCCCTTGTGCTGGATGCTCTACTTAGCTGCTCTCTGCTGCCTGGCTGCCGCCGGTCATTTCTGGAGTCCTATGGAAGAGGGGCCTTGCACCTCCACTCTTCCCTGGCTGTCCTCTCCGGCCCTGGGGACCTAGCTGCCGCCTTGTGCTGTCTCTGGACGCTTTGCCTGTGACAGAGGCCAAACTTGTCAGGTCTGGTTCCAGTCCCTGCTGAGGCCCCTCCTGGGCACTGGCCCTCTCTGGACAGTGACTAGCTGCAGCAATAGCTCCGCCAGACATCCTGCCCACACCCAGCTCTCCCATGGCTTGGCCCAGATCTGCTCTATGACAGGGTGGCTGGGTCCCCAGCATGCACTGAAAAGGTCCCTGGCCAGGACTGGGAGTCAGGAAGGACCGGGATGGAATCCTCCCACAGAGGCCTGAGTCAGGGGCATGAGGAGTGCCCCTTATCGAGTTTCTAAATGGGGCTGGAAGGGGTACAGTGCCGATGTGGCACTCGGCAGGGCTTCTCTTGGGTGCTGGAGCTAGAGAGGGTACTCCAGAATCACCTCTATCTCTTGGCACATCTCTGGTAGCAGCAGAAGCAGCCTCCACACTGATAGACACCTGAGACACCTTGCTACCTACCGACATGGTACCTTCAGCGAGACCAGAAACGATGGGAGAGACAAACCCTAAAAGGGTCAGTGGGAGAAGAGTACTGCCAGCCTCCCCAAGACACAGGCTGAAAGACCTTCTGTGGGGCAGCACAGGCTGAGACCCCTGCCATGCAGCACCAAGGCACCTCCAAGCATAGGACATTAGTGATGGGCACAGGGAAGCTTCATGGGAGAAGATCCGTGTAGCCCCATGCACTGAGCAGCTCTGTGACTCCGGTGGGGGTCGGGTGAGATGAATTAGTGGCCGTGTAAACCTGATGACCTAAGTCTGGTACCCGAGGCCCACAACGGAAGGAGAGAACCACCTCCCAAAAGTCATTCTCTAACTTCCATATATATGTCACGGTATGTGCGAACTCCTAATCAAATACGTATCACACACACACACACACACACACACACACACACACACACACACACACACACACAGAGCTAAATTAATTAAAAACAACAACAGGCCGGGCAGTGGTGGCGCACGCCTTTAATCCCAGCACTCGGGAGGCAGAGCCAGGCAGATCTCTGTGAGTTCGAGGCCAGCCTGGGCTACCAAGTGAGTCCCAGGAAAGGCGCAAAGCTACACAGAGAAACCCTGTCTCGAAAAACCAAAAAAAAAAAAAACAAAAACAAAAACAAAAAACAAAAACAAAAAAAAAAAAACAAATAAAAAGTCAAATGAGATGAGCCAGCAGTTTCCCAAAGATCCAGGCACTTGGCCACTGGGAAGTCACTAAGTGCTCCCCCAAGATAGGTTTCTGGGCTTCTCTTTGGGATAGGATCGACCATGTGCCCCTCCCTACACTGGGTGCCTAGGTTCTTCTGGGGGCAGGACAGTGTGCACTGGGTACTCGGCTAGGCCCACAGGATGGCAAGAGAGTCCCTGTCACACAGCCAGTGTCCCAGGGCTCAGCCACCCTGGTCCTACATGATACTTGGTTCAGAGGCTGACTGACTAGTATCGGTACCAGGGCCCAGAACTGGTTGGGTATAGACTCCCCAGCCGACCTAATCACCAAAGAGTGAGTGATGGGAGGGCTGAGACCCCCGCTCCCTCCCTCTTGGTGTTAGGATGCCATGTGGTCACGCTGAGGACAGGGTTGGGCGGTAACCAGAACTGGACACTGAGGTTGTGACAGCCTCGTATCCAGGGGGGCAGGAGTCAAGTCCCAGGCCAGGCCAGGCCAGGCGAGCAACTAGGGACCCTCTGTTAAAGGGATGTCCCTCAGCTGTCATTTACTGCAGGGGAGGGACTTTGATATAGCCAGCCAGCACCCCACCTTAGCAGGACAACAGTGACCCTGCAGGAGGTGGGCGGGGCGATAGGAGGTATGGAAACCGGGTTCCTAGGAAGTCCTCGTGCATATTTATATGGAGGTGAGATGATCCTACAGGCCCACAGCACCCACCTGCATCTAGGCCAGCCTCAATTTAGAGCCACACTGAATCTGACCATTATCACCAAGTACCTCTACCTGTCAGAGGCCTGTACCCTAAATACCACTGGCCCCTAAAACCTTCAACCCTGTCATTCTGAATCTCCAGCTGAAAGTCAGCCATGGACCACAGCCAGGGCCTAGATGATTCTGGGCCACAGAATGTCTCCTCTCTTGCAGGTCAGTTGGGAGGACCTGGTCCTGGCCCAGTTTGAGGATAGGGAGAGTCAACATCCCAGGCCCAGGTGCATCACTGCCAAGCTCCTCAGTTGGTGGAGGGAGCTGTAGGGTAGCAGGGCATGAAGTGTCTTCTAACTCCTGGTAATAGTCTATCTACTTTCCCTATGGCCCCGGTCTTGAACTCACAGAGGTCCACATACACCTGCCTCCTGAGTGCTGGGATTAAAGATATATGCCACCAGACTTGGCTGTGCCCCATCCTATGGGCCTAGGGCTAAGGGCAGGGGAGTGGATTCTGAGCAGGCCCTGGGCCTCCTCTCTCTGAGATGCAGAAGGACAGTAGAGTATGGACAATGACCAACCCGGGAAGGCTTTGGGCATGAATCAAGCTTGGAGACAGAGATCTAAAGAAATCTGCCTGCTTAAGGGTAACTGCTGAGTGCCAAGGTGAGCCTGAGATGTGTGGTAACTGAAGCCTTTGAGCTCCAAGTCCATGGCAACAGAGGTGGACAAAGATATCTTTAAGAATGTACACACTGGGGCTAGGGCACATGTTTTAATGCTTACATTGTTAAATGTCTCAGGTCATCAGTAGAGCCGGGGCCTGAGCTCAGGCAATCTGCCCTATAGAAGAGGAGATGTCAAAGGGTCCCGGACTTTTTTCTATGGTTCACGGGCTATGCGAGACCACTGTATCCACACACTTCTTCAGGCCACTTATGGCCACTCCTTCCCTGAGGGGCCAAGTTCAAGCTTGCAAAGGGCACCTCAGGCAGCCCACCTCACCCTGTTTCCCTTCACCCAGCGTCTAGCTCTCCTTCCCAACCTTTGGCCCTATGGGGTCTAGCGAGCAACGGAAATTCACAACCCCAAAATTCAAGGTCCCTTGTTCAAGAATTAGGGAAAAGTGATACTATAGGTATTAAAATACACAGATTTTTTTCAATAGTTTCAACTTGTATTTTCTGTCATATTTTTTATTTTATTTATTTATTTAGTTTTTCAAGACAGGGTTTCTCTGTGTAGCTTTGGAGCCTGTCCTGGAACTCACTCTGTAGCCCAGGCTGGCCTCGAACTCACAGAGATCCGCCTGCCTCTGCCTCCCAAGTGCTGGGATTAAAGGCATGTGCCACCAGCGCCTGGCCCGTATTTTCTGTCATATAACGTCAGCCTAAATGAAGAAAAATTAAAAGTTGATTTTCTCGTCCCCTGGAAATATTGGGAATCAAACCCCGAAGCTCTCCACCTGCTAGGCATGCACTCAACCACTGAGCAACACTGCCAGCCCCCCCCCCTTTTTTTTTGAAGCAAGGTCTCACTTTGGAGCCTTTGCAGGCTGGACTCTACATAGACCAAGCCAGCCTTGAACTCACAGAGGTCCTTACACTCACAGTGATCCACCTGTCTCTGCCTTGCAAGTTGCTGGGATTATCGATGTATGCCACCACACTTAGAGTCTTCCACTTTTTTTGTTTGTTTGTTTTGTTTTGTTTTGTTTTTCGAGACAGGGTTTCTCTGTGTAGCTTTGCGCCTTTCCTGGAACTCACTTGGTAGCCCAGGCTGGCCTCGAACTCACAGAGATCCTCCTGGCTCTGCCTCCCGAGTGCTGGGATTAAAGGCGTGCGCCACCACCGCCCGGCGAGTCTTCCACTTTTTAAAATATTTTTTTTTTTTTTTCGTTTTTCGAGACAGGGTTTCTCTGTGCAGCTTTGCGCCTTTCCTGGGACTCGCTTGGTAGCCCAGGCTGGCCTCGAACTCACAGAGATCCACCTGGCTCTGCCTCCCGAGTGCTGGGATTAAAGGCGTGCGCCACCACCGCCCGGCTAAAATATTTTTAATTTAATATATTTTAATATTTTTCATAAGTTGCCCAGGCTGGTCTTAAACTTGTATCCCCCCTGCTTCAGCCTCCTGAGTCTAAGGCAGATTTTTCAGTGGCTGTGCTGAGATCTCGTGGCTCCATCTCCATGTTTGTTTTGTTCTCGCCGGGCTGCTAGAGGCACTGCTATCTTGTTTTGACTGTGGTAATATATAAATAGCACAAAGGTTGCTTTTTTTGCCGTTATTAAGTCTATTAAGTTCATGTTCTCAGGCAGACTCACAATGCATCCATCACCACCATCGTCTCCAGGATCGCTGAAGAACCCCAAAACCTGTGCCGATTACACAACTCCAGGTCCCAACCCCAGCTGCTGCGACTGCCATCCTACCTTCTGTCTCTCGGACTGTGACGGCCCCAGGGACCTCTCATAACCAGAACCCCCAATGTTTTCCTCTTACATCCAGCTTCTCTGCCTATGCCCCACTCTATGGTATAGCATTCATCAGTTCTCTTCCTTTTCAAGTCCGAATCATGTTCCATCGTGTGGATGTGCCATGCCTGGGTCATCCATCCATCAGTCCTGGACACTGGGGTGGCTTCCATGTTGTGACCATGACAGATGGCACCGCCACGTGTAAAGCCAGCTGGGCAGGAAGGTGTGTGAGGGTCTGTGTTGTAGATGTATCCAACCTTCTTATTAAATAA